TTTATTGTAGATATAGGTTTTGAAACTACATGCTTTCAAATGTATTCGTGGCCATACATTATTTTTCTTTAGTTCAAGTAGATCATTTAAAAACTGCAATATTTTTTATAGAGCAAATAAAAGAAGTAAAGGCAAATAAAAATAAATAACAATTTATTTATAATACTAATAATAATGAATGTACATATTTTATAATAAAATTATTAATCAATGTAATCAAAACCTAGTTATATAATACAGAAAAAATACATTTTATTCGTGAGATACATCATACACATTTTCAGGGAAAAATGTTCAGTTATTATCACACAAAAACTTACATACTATTATTATATGCACACTAGATACAATATACCAGTTGTTCTCAAACTTTTTTGGTGACGGAACCTTTTTGCAAGGCGAAATATTTGACGGAGCCCTCCGAGCAAAATCCTTGCTCTAGCTTCTTGCCAGGTCCCTCCCGTTTCTTCGCGGAGCTCCCACAAAAAAATCCTCAAAATCATATCATCCTTCCTCTGGCCTCTAAAAAAAAGGTCCTCCAACCAAACTCATAAACACTGACTTCAAAAAAAAGGGCCTCCAACCAAAATACCAAAATTATATACTCCTTCCTCTTACTGACTTCTAAAAAAGGTCCTCCAACCTAAATACCAAAATCATAATATACTCCTTTCTCTTACTGACTTCTAAAAAAAAAGGTAAGGTCCTCAAGTCAAGTCCCGTTGTAGCGATAGTACTGCTTTTTTTGTTATAACTAGTATTTTCTTCGCGGAGCCCCCCAAAGGCTTTTCGGAGCCCCCCCAAAGGCTTTGCGGAGCTCCAGGGCTCCGCGGACCACACTTTAAGTAACGCTGCTAATTACATATACAAGAGATAATATAAAATATAGTAGGTACCCTACTATTCATAATAGACGTATTTCATAACACAAAAGCTTCCTTTGCTTCAACTGACTGATTTTGTTGAAACTTGCTAGAATCTTTTTTTTTGGCAAGAGCTAATTTTCTATCAAAAAATAACTTTGCTTTAAATTTTTTCTTAGGTATTGCTTTCCTGGAAACATAATAATGCTTGATTATATGAGAAAGTGTCTTATTTGACTCTAACAAACCTTTTGTAAGTTCGCTTTCTCCTTCAGAAGCAGTTAGTGTGGAGTCGCGTCTTATTAGCATGAAAAAAAGTGAAAATGGACAACTTTTTGCGGAGAGGTCCGATTGAGAAGCGGTTTTCTGCAAAATGTTCAGGAAACCGTCTATAACAAAAGGTATATCTAACCTCTGTACGCTCGCAAATTCTTAATTGTTTATTTAACAAATGAGGCATTTTTGTTAGAGTGTTGATGAATATGTGGCAAATGCCAATGTCGAGTTATTAATTTGTTAATTAGCGAGGTCGCAACAATCGAACAATAAATAATTATGTTTGCAAAAATCTTGTGCTGATGGTTCACCTTAACAAGCCTGAAATGCTGGAAAAAATTATGGTTCTCTAGTGATTTCGTGCTTTGAGATATTAATTTGTTAATTAGCCAGGTTGCAACAATTGAAACATAAATATTTACGTGCAACAACCTTGTGCCAATGGTTCGCCTCAAGAAACCAGAGATATCGTAAAAAATTCCGGTTCTCTACCGATTTCGGGAGTCGAGTTATTAATTTGTTAATCAGCGAGGTGGCAACAATTTAGCAATAAATAAATCTGACACCAAAGTGATAAAGAGGGACCTCGAAACCCCCCGAGACAAAATTTTCCAGACATTTTTGTTGAACCGTGTGTGACATTTGCCACATATTCATCAACACTCTAACAAAAATGCCTCATTTGTTAAATAAACAATTAAAAATTAGCGAGCGTACAGAGGTTAGGTATACCTTTTGTTATATACGGTTTCCTAAACATTTTGCAGATAACCGCATCTCAATCGAATCTCTCCGCAAGAAGTTGCAGGTTAAATGCTAATTTGACGCGACTAAGATGAATAGGAGCTTACAGATATTGTGGTTTTAGGTGATTAGTATATCAAATTTTGAACAATTTTTTGTATTTTAAAGAATAAAAGATTAAAGTTCCCCATCTTGCTTATTTTTATTTGATTTTTAAAAATGTAAGAGCTAATCATACCTTTTCGTTAGCTGTCTATCTTTCTTTTCCAACTTCGAAATTCCCAATGTTTAGAACTGAGATAAGGATATATTTTCTTTACTGTCGTTATTTTCAAGCCTGTAAACAATAATGTAATAATAATACTTACATGTTTACTATTTAACAAAATAAGGAAATAAGTGTGTTTCGAAAGTCACATATATATGAATATCTAATTACATTACTTCTATTGTTTATATGGAAAAAACTTACACATTTCGAAAGCCAGGTACAGCTTTTGGTATAGCTCCTTTTATTAATCTATTGCTACCTTTACAATAATGTTCAGTTAAAAAATGGTCTGAACATAGACATGTGTTGTTAGACATGGTAGACAAACTGACCACTTGCCACTAAGCCAGTTTGGTTATGAGATCAGTAGAAAATCTGAAATAAGTAAAAAAAAAGGTTTTTAAAGTTAATGGCACATAAATATGTACAATACAAAAATTTATCTAATCCATTTTACAATACACAAAAAGACTAATACATTAAGCATTATATCGCAAAGGAAACAATTATTTTCTGTCGAACGCAACCAATTGCGGTGATGCTCAAATGAAGATCTTTCTGCAAAAATATTTTCTTATTAATTTGCCCATTTCCCATTTTAAGTTACGTTTATGGAATATAGAATATTTACTTGTGAAACGTCAACTGGGATCCTTTTAAGAATTTTTTATTGCAAAGTATACAAACTCTCGGCATGATTAGCATTTATTTTAAATAAAAACACACTTTAGAAGTTTATAAAAGAGGCACCTCGTCCAAATTGTCTTCAGTGGCCCCAAAAACCGATTTTTTAAAAACCAAAACAAGACGTCTAATGAAATGTAATTTATCACAAATACGCGCGCTATTTAAATTCGCCAATCATAAATCGTCGTGTACCTAACTCGCCAATCATGACGCGTCGTGTACCTAACGCCGAAGGGGTTACCCCCCTCAGTACATAAGAAACCCATTTGAGTAACACCTCTAGTATTATATACTCCAAGGTTATATCTTTCTGAGGGCTATGGTTATATCTGGTTAGTTGAACCATTACCAGTAGTCTATTAACCTCGTGTGTATGAGTGAGATGTGAGATGTATTTTGAAAAAGAAAATCAAGTAGATATTAGGGCAATCTTCACAATTGAAAAAAGATCAGGCCTGTTTTAAATAAATTTTATATAATTTGTCAAAATTGTTTAAATTTTGAAACTATAAAATATTAGCTTTTACCTCTATTTAGTTAAAAATATAACGTTTTGTCAAGCAAAGGTTAGGCCAGTAAAATAGGGATGTTTTGATTTTCTTAAGAATAAATCTAAAACTATTTTGATCTGTTGTAGAATTTTTTTCTGTATTGTTTATAACATGTTGGGGGAAAAATTCACCAAAATTGAATCCAAAATCGCAGTCTGTTCTAGTTAGGTCTAAACTTTGAGATAGAATAAAGAGGAGTTGCTATCACGATGCTAAAGTGACCGCACCTTTGCATTACATTTTTACGTCATATGTCAAAACTTAAAATAGTGGTGCTAGTCAGTTTTGGAGAATAAAGGCAATTTGTTGTAAATAGCTTCATTTAAATGATATAAAATCATTTTCATTCCGTCATCTTCAAATATACAATTATTGACTTCAAATAAATCAAAGTTCGACTCAAGTCGCCATTTTTATTACATTTTTCCGTCACTGAAGTGCGTCCATCTGTCATATCGCAAAATAGTGTATGCCGTCTCTATAGAGAAAGTAAAAGTTGAAAAGTCTTTTGGTAGGTAGAGAGGGGGTAAACGTCAAACCACGTCGGGCGGCTCCGAGAATTTCACAGTAATGTTTACCTGCCAGTGTCGTTTCATAGAATAAGTAATTTTAAATTGTTATCGGCGGAACCGGACAATCGCATGTATTTATGGATTATAAATAATTATTAAACATGTATTATAATATTCAAATTATAATTTTACAAAATTTCAACAGCTATTCACAATTTATTAAATTTTATTTACTCGAAATTGTTAACATCAATAAAATAATTTTGTACGCCGATGTATCGCGTCCACTTCGGTGAGATCCGCTGCCAACCTGTCAATTTATGTGTATAAAGTGGGAGTACTGGCAAAAGCATTTCCAACTTTTACTTCTGTTCTACTTTATTCTATCTCGATGGGTCTAAAAATAAAAGTTTGTCAATACAATAATTATTATTTATTAAGGATAATACTTATTTAGTAAGTACAATGGAATACGTTTTCTCCACAGCGACTACTGAATGTAGTTCTTTCGAAACTGCTTATAATTACAGAAAGAAAACATTCTCGCTCTTAAAAATGAAAGAAAATTCTGAAACACTTGCCACTTATGTATTTTACACGTATTTAATTTTAGAGATAGAATGTTAATTATGTAATAGCTACTGGCCAATGGCTGTGAATACCACGCCTACATCGTAGATTGTCATGAATTTCATGACTGACAGTTCTACGCGACGTATTAGTATTTAGCTTGATTTGCCTGAATAAAGATAAGTAACGTTTGTTAACTTAAATTCCAAAATTGGTGAATATGATGATGTAATTCGATAATATTCCTTCTAGATTGACAAATTATACAAATAATTTAAATAAAAAAACTTGCCTAACGTAAGTTAGGTTAAATATTTCATTTTGTTCAAATTTTCTATTTACTATATTCAACTCCTACTGTGTCTGTGGCCATGGAGAAAGTACAGTCTGTTACTCTATTGGGATGAAAATTCGATACTCGTAGTTTTTCACACTCGCGTTCAGAATTTTCCACTCGTATCGAATGTTAATTCCAACCTTGTTACAGAATATATTATACTATTAACGTATTTTCTTATATTTTCAGTCCTCAAATGTCTCCGATTATCAGCTGACCCAGTTACATTAAAAATAAAAAGGGGTAAGTTATTTAATCATATTTCCAATATTTATCCACCAATTTTTAATTTCAACGTAGCTAGCTTAATACGATGACTCAAAACAAGATGCTTTTACTCACTATTTAGCTGATGAAGATCGTTAACTTTATCAAAGAATATTGTGTTATACGAGATGGTATTGGTAAAAACATCCCACTGTATAAAACTCACAATTCACATTTAGCACAACGTTCATAAAGTAATTATACGCCATTAAAAAAATATTTGTTTTGGTCTGCCAACCACTCCTAAACGGAACATGTGACTTCATCATCTGTCGAAAATCGTTTACCTTTCAAATGTTTCGTAAATTTTGGGAACAAATCATAATTCGATAGTGCTAAATCTGGAGAATAGAGCGGTAAGTCAACCAATTTAAAACCAATCTCATAATTTTTTTGCTTCGCAATCAACGATTTGTGAGCAGAAACGTCCTCTTGTAAAAAGAGAACACTATTAGCAAGTTTTCCGCTGCGCTTTTCCACAATTTTCACGCTAATCTAATTAGCAGCGCAGTAATAACCCTTTTGCTCACGGTGTACGATATATTTTACATCACTTTACTTATATTAAAATGAGGTGAAAGGAGGCTTCTATCCTGGCTGCTATCCACTTTACTCATAACGTGCAGAAGTGGTTCCCAATCTTTTTTCGAGTTGCTACCTTCACCTGCGACCCGACCCCCGCCACAATTGTATAAAATAATATTTATATTTTCAATAGGACAAAAAAAAACTTACTAAAAATAAGTTTTTCAGAATATAACCCCAACGTAATATTTAATAAACTAATTAAAGAATTAGTTAATATTTAATGCATTCCGGTAAGCAGCTTCAAAATTCGTCTGAGTGTTTGTTACAGCTAGCCTCATGTCATTCTCAACAATTAGTCTCTTTCTTTGTTTTGATATGCCTTGAAAATCCACTTCCACTCAGTAGCGTAGCTTGACACAGGGGGTCTCGGTGCAAGATATTTTTCGGGGACCCTGGGTCAAAAAATGGGGTTTAGGACATTTGGACGTCGCCGTTTTGGCGTGGCCATTTCGACGTGGTCATTTGGAGGTCAGGCCATTTCGCCGTTGGCCGTTACGGCGTCGGAAATACTATTTTTTAGTATGTATGTTAAAATCGCTGTAAGTTTTATTATGAAATAAGTAAAGTATTGAAATAAGTGAGGTTTTGCATAGGAATGTGATAAATGCCTTAATCTGTTTTTCAAGTACCTATCAGAATTATAATAGTAGTGTAATTAATATTAGTGTAATTAATAATTTATATGAACATTAGTATAATAATAGTGAAGTAAAGAAATTGTTCCAAATTTGCAACCCAGAGTAATCTATTCCGATTTTTAACCGGCAGCATTCAAGACAATGGAAGATTGTTTTCCAGGCGTCACTATAAATGGTTGTTTTTTTTTTCACTTGGCCCAAAATATGAGGAAACAAGTAACTTCTATGGGACATACGAGATAGTACAATGCTGATCCACAATTCTCTCTAAATTGCAGAATGGTGATATCTTTGGCATTTGTTCCTATCGATCATTTAGATCATGCCTTTGATGTTTTAGCGGAAGACCTATCTGCCGAACATTAATCACTGTTGGACTGGCTAGAAGATATTAGACGCCTTAATAGGTATTTAAGGTGATTACAGCACCCCCTTATAATTTTCAAACAAGGATATCTCTTTTTTAAAAAAATTAAAATTTTGGCAAAATATATTAGGCAATAATATCTAGAACATGTATATATTTTAAAATTTTAATTCCCTCCAGTTTCCTAGAAAAAAAAATCAAAGGGCTTTAAATTTTGAAATATCATAATGAAAATAAATGCATTCCTCAACAGCACTATTGTTAATATAATCTCTAAATTTAAGCTCTTAATCTTTTGTTAATGATTTTTTAAAATTCGCCGAAATTAGTGGCTAAAACGCCTTGTTAAGTACTATTTTCTGGTTTAAACTGGTGTAAACTAGTGTAAATCATTGCAAGAAACGAATGATGACTCAGAGTGTACGATACGATAGTTACAGACGCGTTACACTAGAAAGAAGCACTTAACGAGGCGTTTTAGCCACTAATTTCGGCGAATTTTAAAAAATCATTAACAAGAGATTAAGGGCTTAAATTTGGGGATTATATTAGGAATACTGCTGTTGAGGAATGCATTTATTTTCATTATAATATTTCAAAATTTAAAGCCCTTTGATTTTTTTTTCTCGGAAACTGGAAGGAATTAAAACTTTAAAAAATATGCATATTCTAGATATTATTGCCTAATTTATTTTGTCCAAATTTAAATTTTCTAAAAAAATTACTTTTTGAGATATCCTTGTCCGAAAATTATAAGGGGGTGCTGTAATCACCTTAATTCACTGTTTTTAACTAAATTCGGGTAATTTTATATTAAATAATACTATTTTTATTAACAACTTTGTCTGTTTTTTGTACAAGAGGAAATGCTAGACGACCAGGTTTATTCCACCCAACGATGTGGAACCTTTACCAAAGGACTTTGGATCAGACAGATCGGACCAATAACCATGCAGAGGCAGCACATAGAAGACTACAGTTCGAATTGGGAGCAGATCATCCAACCATTTGGAAATGGCTTGCGTCAGGTGCAGAAAGGTCGAGATTTATATGTCAATCAACTTGTGGCGGACAATGGCAATCTGCCACCATTGAAGTTACAAAAATACAGGGATGCAGATGAATGCATTTTACGGCATGTTCAAAATTTTTAAGTAAACGTGGATATTTTAGAATATCTAAGAGGACTTGCTGATAACTACAACATGTAATTTCGTGAATAAGTTTAATATATTAAATATATACAGGGTGTACCAATAAAAACTCCCAGGCCTGATATTCTGGTAAGTTATAGAGATATTTTAATTCTGTAAAAGCCAGTTCATAGAGCGCTAAGAGAGCTTCAGTTTTAGATATAAATTGATTTTAAATAGGTCAATATGTAGATGGCGCTGCGCTCAATAATTTTTTTTCGATGGGAGGATCTTTCTTATGTAGCGCATCTTGTAAAAAATGCATTTTAAAGCAAATTTTGTTCTATCAACTAATCCGATAAATCTAGCCATTTTTGATATACAGAGTGGGTCACTCAAAACAGTTTCATCCTGTTTTTCGGCATTAATCATTGGATTTTTAAAAAATGCTAAAACAGGTCGATTTTTATTTCAAATTAAACACATTTTTACAATACAGACATCTGTCATGTGTCAACCCCCTCCCTTCCACTTCTCCAACCCCTTAATTTTAAATAAGAAATGTACCATGTACGGCACATCATTAAAAAGGTAATTTTATGGGGAAGTCAAAAATATGACAGTTTATTGCGATTCTTTTAATTTTAGCGCCCTCTATCGGGATAAAAAAATCTGTAACGTATCATAAAGTGTGACACTTCATTTGAAAGCTAATTTAATTATTGATTCAATGCGCTACATAACATTAATATAAATATTTCCATATTGTACTTGCAACAAAATAAAGTTTAAAATAATGCATGACTAATTTTCAAACTATTGCAAGTGCAATATGGATATTTAAATTATTATTATGTTATTAATTAATGTTATGTGGTACATTGAATTAGTAATTAAATTTGCTTTCAAATAAGGTGTCACACTTTAAAATACGTACTTTTTAATCTCGATAGAGGGCGGTACAATTAAAAGTATCACAATGAACAGTCAATTTCTAAATTCCCCATAAAATTACCTTTTTAATGATGTACTACACATTGTAGTATCACACTCTATAATACCTAGTAGTTTTTTATCCCGCTAGAGGGCGATAAAATTTAAGTACCGCAATGTACAGAAATATTTCTGAATCCCCCATTAAATTACCTTTTCAATGATGTGTCATACATGGTACATTACCTATTTAAAATTAAGGTGTGGAGAAGTACAAGGGAGGGGGTTGACATATGACAGATGTCTGTATTGTAAAAATGCTTTTAATTTGGAATAAAAATCGACCTGTTTTAGCATTTTCTTAAAATCCAATGATAAATGCTGAAAAACAGGATGAAACTGTTTTAAGTGACCCACTCTGTATATCAAAAATGCTAGATTTATCGAATTAGTTCATAGAACAAAATTTGCTGAAAAAGGCATTTTTACAAGATGCGCTGCACAAGAAAGATCCTCCCATCGAAAAAAAAAAAAAATATTGAGCGCAGCGCCATCTACATATTGACCTATTTAAAATCAGTTTATATCTAAAACTGAAGCTCTCTTAGTGCTCTGTGAACTGGCTTTTACAGAATTAAAATATCTCTATTATTTACCAAAATATCCGGCCTGGGAGTTTTTATTGGTGCACCCTGTATACTTTAGTAATAGTATATAGACATTTTATTTTATTCTTCCTTTCGAAACGAAAACAGTTTTATTATTTAATTATAATATAACAATTATTTAAAATTTATAAAAATCATATTGTTAAGTTTGCCAAAACTTCCAACGCCGAAATGGCCAACGTCGAAATGGCCGGCGCGGAAATGGCCAACGTCCAAATGGCCACTCCAAAACGGCCACGCCGAAATGCCCCATTCCCCAAAAAATGCAAATAAATAATATATGAAAAATAAAAAAAAAACTTTTTTCTTAAAAACTTAATATAAATAGAAACATATTCGCAAGTTTAAGGACGGGGTATCCCTGTGTATTAAAAGTGTATGTGTAGACCAAAAGTTAAATCGACAGTTTTCCGAATATGTAGTATTTAAAAATCTAATTTTTGGCCAAATTAAAAATAAAGGTCTAACTTAGGTCACCTTACTATTGAAAATTAATAAATTTATTATTTTCAATAAAAACCAATCATGTAAAATAACCCCCTTTTATTTCATCTCAAAGGTGCCGTGTAGAATTATTTTAACCTCGATGTCAAACAAATAATAAAAAAAAAATGTAATACGACCTAAGTTCAACCTTTACTTGGAATTT